TTGGATGAGATGTCATCTCAATTTTGGTGCGGGCGGCTATAGATATCAGTGATGTCTCCGAGTCAGCTCGCTTAATTTCTGTCAGCCGTCCACCTGACACCACTGTACATACACTAGGTACCTACCTAAGGTACCCAAGGATGTTTCGTGTATCCACATCGCGCATGACACACTTGATGCGTTTCCACGGAGTGTAGAGTCGTGAGGAGGTCAACGCGCGAGCATTTCAACCATTCATCTCGCGGCGCTCCGAGGACGCAGCCCTTCCACACGTCATCATCATGGCCGGCGCTCTTATCTCATCTCAGCCATTCTCCGGCGCCGCTGAGACAGTACCTCCTGCTGTGGGCAACTCTCGAAGGTTCAGAGAAGAACAGGACAGGATTATGGCAAAGGTGACCGACCAGTCTTTCAGTCCCAGTAAGTCTTGTCTGTCACTATCACTCAATTCTCAACCCTTTCCGTTCTCCATTTTTCGGTGTCAATTTGACACCAGTAAGCCCAAGATGCACTGTCGTCGGCTCATCCCACCTTGACTGATACTCTGCGATGCATAGAAAAGTATCACGATCCTCTTATTCCTCGACTGGGCGTGGGATCCCACTTCCTTAATCAGGGGATCACATTACAAATGGAAAGAAAATGGCTTGTCAAACTTGAGGCTCTGAGAGAGCTGCGTGAGCAGAGAAGCTAAACTCAACCGCGGGAGTCATGCGTACCATGATCGTTCAACGTAACGCACGCATGCGTAGTTTGTTCTTCCGGTTTGAGGAAGCTGAGCACTGCAAGGGTTGCAGATCTGTTCATATATGTCCCCAGCTATGTTTCAAGATACGGGATTATAGATGCGATTCTCTCTGTCGGTCGAAAACGTTCAGCCCCCCGCTCCATCCACCGTGACTTCGCGTATCAATAATCGACTACTTAGCCTCTTTGTCACATTGTAGCACTCGGGCATAATCGACCCCTTGGCATCAGATGTGGACACGTTGCGCGACAATGACGACGGCTGATAGCGAAGAAGGGATCAAAACTCGGTCAACGCTACCGAGGACACAGAGTCAGAACTATGCGATCGCTGATCGCATGCACCGATACTCTTCCAAGTAGGGCAAAAGAAGAACGAACGGCTCACAGTGTACCGTTGTACATATGCTCCGGGTCGATTTGGACGGCAATACTTCATGGGTCTCATTGTGCAGTATCCCCATTCCGTTGCGCAGTATTCCCAACTGCCGCGATCGGCGATGTTAATAATCACTACAGACTCACAGGGTACACCGGGTGCAATTCTCACATGGGCTTGGTGCTGTTATTCTACACCAACGAGGTCGAGAGCAGCTACGCTGGTTTCTGAACCAATTGCGCCAGCTGTTGCAAGATGAGGCCATTCTGGCCCTCTGAATTTTGAGCACAGATCGTGAAAAAGCAGTCATCGACGCGTTGAGCAAGATTGCGCCCTGAAATGAGCGCTTATTGCACATCTGCCGATGGGCACGTCAGCTCCTCGACCGGGCGCAGCTCATAACCAGGACTGATCTTCCCCTTGAACCGCACGATCCCCCAATCCCAATCAAGGGCAAGGAGAGGCCGGGCGGGATTCTTGGCTAGGCTTCCGATCGCATCGTCGCGCCTTGACGCTACTCGGTAGAGCGCTGAAAAGTAGCGCCTTTGGTTCATAGCCGAAAGTGACATCGTCCAGCTCAGGAGTTGCTGTCCCAGAGGCGCCTGATTGTCCTTTACGACTGAGAATCCTTAGGCCACGGGCAAGGCTTCGAAGTGGTCATGTAGGCGTTCCGAGGTTGGTACAGGGATGGCTCGCGCGTCTCAACAAAGGGCGCCTCTCATGTAGGACCTAGATCCCAAGATGAACCGGGAGCCGTCAGCTTAAGAAGTAGTGGAAATTCCAACGGCGGCTTCAATTGACGCTAAGGATGAATGTTGGCATCGACGCGGAACTTTATGCACTGATTGTCGCAGAAGGCGAGGGCGTCGGCACTTGGAAGGAAGTATAGGAATGCTGTTGTGAAAAGAGAAACAAGAAAATAACTATCAATACTCAGTTAAGCAGCTTGTATTTATTCTCAAATTTTCATCCGATTGTTCCCCCCTCGAAGTCGAATTAATCCGTTGTCGAACGCCTCCTTTACTAAATAATCTCCAATAACAGTTTGCATTGCTACCCCCCAACAGGCCGTGTGGCTCAATGGCAGAGCGTCTGACTACGACTACTGTGTGGGATTGTGCGCATGGGATTGTGTGGTATCAGAAGGTCGCAGGTTCGACCCCTGTCTCGGTCAAGTTTTTGCTCTTGGTGATCTATTTTTTTATCATCGAGACCTAGACTATACACATGCACACTCTGCAGAAGGCATGAATAAATTACCCCTGCCGGGGTACCTCTCTGTTGGAATCGCAGGACAGCAATTTGCAGAGCACTGCACGCTGATTGGTGTGCGTGTCTCGCCTGTGGAGGCATAGGCCCACACAGCGAGCACAACACCACAAAGCTGGCCTCCGCCCCTTCTTGTACTTAGACAATGACAATAATAACAACGAAGACAATCACCAGAACGACCATACCTCTATGCTTATGCACTAGTGCTTGTCAATCTGTATTCATTCATATGTAACCTTACGGTCCCAACACTGATCAGTGGTTGAAATAACCGACAGGTTACTAAACCACAGATTGGCAAGGAATTTTCGAGGAGTGCAATCATCCGCCACGGCCGAAACACTTGCGCCTCTCTGTAGGAAGAGACGCAAGGAAGACAAGAAATCCAGATGCCCATTCGCACGGCACCCCACCCTTCAAGGCAGCGAATGGACCACAATGTTTATCAGCAACCGGAAGATACCCACACTTACGAGACGAAACGACAAGGAGATATAGACGTCAACTACCAGCCACACGTACGACATCAGCAAAACTTGTCTCACGAACAATACTCGGACGACGTCGAAGGCACGACATATCCTGCACACCGAAGATATGACGACGCTGGTTTCCCAGGAGCCGAAATACGGCGGATGAACATTGATATAAAGAAAGCGTTCAGAACGGAGGAGAAGTATTCTGGCACGCAGTACAACTTCTTGACACCAGTGTTCAAGTCTTTCAAACTCCTCACGTTCGATGGTGAGACTTGTACTGTCAAGACTCCCAACGGCCCGACCCAATTTCGTTCAACGGTTGTCAAGCCGTACATCGCAGATCTGGAACAGGAAGATGACAAAGAGCGAAGTTCTACATCAGATGAAGAGGATGATGAAGGAGTTGATGAGGATTTCTCTCCGCCTTCGTCTTCGCCGCCTCCGCAGCCACCGCGAAGGAGAGGACGAGGGAGACAACACGAACACCCCGTACCCGAAAACGCTGTCGCCCTCATCCAAAAACTGTTAAGAGCATCGTCGTGTTTTCTTACCAGCAAGGAAAAGGACGATTATCAGCTGGCTGTTGATCTCAGGAAGAAGGGAATAATCACGACACCCGGCGCTCCATTCGAAAAGTCTGACAAAGCAGAGATTGAGTCGCTGATTGCACGGGGTGTGTTCACTTTCATGCCCTACGACCCTGGAATACACCAAGGTGAACGCGTCTTTCGCTCTCGCATGGTTCGCGAATTGAAATGAAAGGGAATATCGTAACGTATAACTCAACCAAAAGTAAGAGAGTTACGAGGAGTGCTCTTGCTTCTGAGCTATACGGTATGGTCCAGGGCGCGGACATCGCCTTTGCAATCGGAACGACACTGCAGGCGATTACGAGACAACTTGGGACACCAAAGATCCCAACGATCGTATGCACAGACTCTTTCTCCCTCTACGAGTGCTTAGTAAAATTGGGAACGACAAAAGAAAAGCGCCTTATGATTGACATAATGGCGTTACGCCAATCTTACGAACGAAGAGAGATTTTCGAGATACGATGGATCAACGGAGCGGATAACGTTGCGGACGCGATGACCAAGGCCAATCCCAACAAGGCACTTGAACGTTTTGTCGACGGAAATGAAGTCACTGTGAGGATAGAACGACCATACCTCTGTCACGACCTGTGCGGCAGGGAGTGGCAATGCACTATATAACCTCGATCAAGCTGCAGACGTGCAACTTGGTCACTTGACCTTTTGGGCGGAACGGGTGGTTATGCGTTTCTCACAACCTCTATGCTTATGCACTAGTGCTGTTAATCTTTATTCATTCATATGTAACCTTTGTCACGACCTGTGCGGCAGGGAGTGGCAATGCACTATATAACCTCGATCAAGCTGCAGACGTGCAACTTGGTCACTTGACCTTTGTCACGACTGATCATAGCGGGCACAGGAGGCGGACGAGTGCAGTTCTATTAACTAGAAGAATAGACTAAGGAGAAGAAGGCAAAGAGTAGAAGTGCTGCAGATGTTGAGCCCACGTACATAGGCTGCGCATAATCTGCAGCGGTCACGTGACGTCTTTGGCCGTCCTGTGACGTAGCTGAGGACCAGTCCTCACACAATACATTCGTAAATGCAAATAGACGCTGCAACAGCCTCTACGGAGCTGACGAGACGGCAGAACAGTAAAATCTCTGAGCCATCGGAGCAGGAATAACACCATCAGGGTGACGACTTCAACTGCAGGCTGTACAAGAGAAAATATTTTGCATCCATATTGAGAAATAAGCCATGCTGGGTGCTGGGAGCCGCATCACGTGACGGCCGTACCAGCCGAACGTGCACATATTTTCACTTTCCCACTTCTTGGGTAACCT